ATCAATTCAACACCAAGACCAAAATCCAATCCAACCAACACAATCCAATACCAAAACAATAACACTCGAACCCCTACATTTGCCGGCGCATCAAGCTCCAGCGCTTAACCCATTGCCCAAGCCATTGTTTCTCCCCCCCCCAGCGGATATTTCGCACGCCTTCGCCGCGGTCGCCTATCTCCTTTCATATTTTCCGGCTGGCCGCGGCTCGAGCTTGGATGTTTGCGTCCGCCTGAAGTGGAGGAAGAACAATTGTCGCTCCCGTAGGATTGACTCGGCGGTGGTGTAGGGCAGGTCGCGCGTTCGGAGGGAAAGATGGCGGCAGGTTAGTTCCGAACAAACCAGCACTACTGAGGAGAACCACATACCATGAACATTCCCCCCGGTTCTGCACAGTAGTGACTGCAGCAGAAAAATCAATAAATGAAACACACGTTCAAGTCGTCGGACCCTACTTGTGGAATGGTTTGTCTGAAATTGATTGCCGATGCGATATCGCCACACCACAAATAGCTGAATATCATCCTGAAACGGAGGTTGATTAGTCCTCTGTTGCAAAATAGTAATAAAGCTGCTGCTACTGTTCTAACCATAGGGTAATCAATCCTACGTCAAAACCTTCACAATTTTGGAACGGCAATCTCACAACAATAGTAACCTCAAGACAAAGTGTAACAATCTTCGGAAATCAGTATTTCGTCTGTGCTACTGCTGTATTGTGGAATTTTCATCTGCAACAAAAGGTTCCAATGTTGCACGTCGATGAGACTTGACACGTCTAAGGTACTCGGTGATATAACCAAGACATGAAAAGTTTTTGATCAGGTTAAACCTGCTACCCAAAAAGAGTCCAGATAAAACGTTGATCACGCATTTTTGATCAGGCTAAACCTGCTGCTCAAAAAGTAGCTACCAAAGAGAGCCCAGATAAAACGTTGATCACGCTATTGCCGGGGAGAGAAAGTTGGTCTCAGCACGGCTGTCAGGATGACAAAGCAAAAACCTCGCCGATCACTGCATTTCATTACGCACAATACTATTTCTAATACCATGCTACACGCACACATCATATCATCAGTTTAGAAACTGGCATCAGTTTTTGAGGATTACTGGTAACCTAGGTTGGGTCTACCCATGTGCTACAGGTAGTCGGCCTTTGACCGAGCGGTGGAGTTTGACGGCAGTACCGCACGACGTATTGTCGCGTTTTGATTGAGTAAGCGTTGGCGTTTGACGGCATTACCGCGCAGCGTGTTGCCGCGATTATACTAGAGAAAGAGTAGGAGAGAGCGTTTGACGGCCGTGCCGGGTGGAGGTGGAGGTGGCGTTAGCGTTGGCGTTTGACGGCAGTACCGCACGGCGTATTGCCGCGTTTAGAATCGGACGGCACTATGAGTACCGCATCACCGCAATGGGTGTGTTGATACCAACAACAGTCCAGTAGGAAACTGAAAAGTCATCACGTGCCTGAGCGGGCCTACTACCCAAGTAGACGGCGGGCTGCAGCTGACGATGGCGCTGCTGTAGGTCTTGGGGTTGCTGCTGCTGTGCAGGCCCTCGCCGTTGGTGGCCTCTTCGTCTGGTTGGGTGTCGTCAGCCGTGCATGCGGCTGCCCATCGGCGCTACCCAGTCACCCTCGACAAAGTCGTTGACGCTAGCGTGTTGGATAAACCGGGTAGGCCGAAGCTTGTAGGTTTGTGGAGAAAGGCAGCTCGGCCAGTGAGGGCCGAGATGGGAAAGTCTTGTATTAGAGGGAAGAGGGAAGGGCAGAGACCACTCGAGGCCGAGCAGCCGAAGAGTGCGTCACCACACCTATCCGTCACGCAATTCAGATCACTCATCAAATCTCCGAAGAAACCAAGCAGAAACTCCCTGTTCCTCCGCGATCTCCCAACTGCAATCTCCGTAGATCCATGTCCCATATTAAACCACATTACTATGCTACGAGTATATCTTACATATTTACTTGAATACATCGAGCAACATCGCACAATCTCCTGATTCAGGCTCACTCGATCGTTGCCGGCAGCAACAGTCTAGGCGATTAACCTGCTTCGACAACAAGGACAATTCAGCACAACTCTAGCAGGCACTTGGGAGGAACCACCACGTCGCTGCTCGCGATAGGACACTAGCTTTTGTTCTGGGTTTCTGGCGTCTATGATTGTCGGTGTCACCAATATCTGCGAGCTTCAGTATTCTCTTTGGTGCTCACCAGCTTCGGGGGTGCTTGCGACACGTCATCCCGACTCTTGTCTCAAGAATAAAACACGTGGGGAGTCTCTCGAGTTCCGCCGGACTCCCCTACATGCATCTCAATCTTCATCTTGTATACACGGTTCCAATCCGTCTTCTCGTAGTCCAACTTGAATTGCTGTCGGACCGTCAACATGGAAACACAATACGGTGATGAAGTCGAACATATTCAGTAAACGTCATGATGTTGGCTCAGTACGGTGAGTGTTCGTAGCACATATCTAAGATATGCCTGTAGGGGGGTGCCGCGAGCGATGGGTTGACCCTCTCGAGCAACGAGGTGTGGGGGCTATCTGGGCCCCATCTCTTAGACACGACCTCCTGTTCTTCGTAAGCACCGTGAATCTTCCTTGGTTGAATGCAGAGGATGCAAACTTCGTCTGTGCGTGCCTCAGTGTGCTCTCCGATAAGCTTGTTTACTTTTTTCAAGGATGTAAGCCACAGTTCGATACTTACAATATCGCGACCCTTGGAATGAAGCCGTTGAGCACGGATGGTATGCATACAACACCACGATAAACACTGCCAAAACCCCTACTATCACGTTTACGTCTGGAGTGCGTGTATCGTGAAGTCGGGGGAAACCCCTCCCCACCCCGATGTGATCGATCCTTTATCAAGCCTTGCTCGATGTATTTATTATCGCACTTTAAGCACGAGGGTATTTCTCGAACCCTACCAACTCATAGAGGTCATCGGCATTGACGTTTTTGCTCTCTGTTGAATACGTTTGCTATTGTTGCGAAACTCGAATAGGGTTGCATGTACTCATGCTTAAACCAGTGGAGGCCTGCAGACGGTTCAATTCGAACGCAACGAAAATCTGTCGATTGCATCTGCTACATCGAAGGGTCGTGTTTTCCCTCTAACCCAACCAACCCCCGACGCTCCTCGAGTTCCGCCTGTTTAAAGCTAGGCCTTTGATGGTCTCTTGAACACAACATACTTTCATTGGGGTTCGCCCTAGTTCTCACCGCTGCAACAAAGCGTACAACACGGAGCACGGAGAATGTGCCGCGGAGGAGGGTGAAATCCGGTCGTTACCCATCCATCAGCAGGCTCGCCGCTAGCGCGGGAAAGTGGCTCTGCGAGAAAGTCCGTTAAGTTGGAGATCGGGACAGCATGTGATACCCGTTGATGAAGTGATTTTCGGGCTCCTACATGCTGTACGTGCCTACCGTCAACGCCTGTACGTCTGGTTTTCTAGCAGGACGACCCTCGATTATGATGTGCCGGAACCGAGCCAGACTCCTGTTGTTCGGGCTAGGAGTTGTCATCGCGGGTATTGCAGAACTATTCAGCGAAAAGAGCGGAACCTCGAATGGCGCACGAGGCATTGCGGACGCCGTATCGGTCGCGAATTCTACTGGTCGCGCGCGATTGGCGGCCCCGAGAACGTGCTGGGTTTTCACTCACATGGTCAAGGCCGGGGGAACGACCGTAAAAAGCTTAATTCAGTCGTCAATGAAGCGAATGCACTCCTCAATGGGGCTATACACGAACCACCACTGGATGAGGGATCGAAGCACAGTAAAGAACGGCGTAACGACGGCCAAGAGCAGCATCACTTATGGTGCTTACACGGAAGCGCTTCGCCCTCACGAAGGACGCGACTGCATGTGGTTCACCATTTTCCGGCAGTGAGTAAAACTTGAAGTTATCTTCATCGGGCTGATGGCCACCGCCTGAAAGCCATGTCACCTGGTTTGCTCGCCAACCTTGCCCCCTCTAGGCCCGTTTCGCAGACAGGCGGTCTACTCAAGCCCATAGAACGAAAATACATGCAACAAGGTTTTCGTGTGATTGAGAGCGAAGTTTCTGATTGAGAGCGAGATTGCGCGATGCGCTGTAGCTGGACTGCCGCTGAGAGGTGGAACTTGCTGCGTGACTTGAATTGAAGGCCTAGCCCGTAGCTACAAGCCGATACCCTGGTCATCCTGTGGGCGTCTCTCGTTGTGGAGCTACAGCGGGGAGCAGAATCTACAGCAGAGCTCACGGCCCGCGATCAAATCGCCCTGAAACAGTTTGAGGCAGGAATAGCCAATCTGGGGAAATCTAGTAACTTGTCTAGCTCCTAGCTGCAGCATCCGATCGCGATGACACGCATATGCTCGTGACGCTGCTGATGAGACCTTCAATTTGCGCCGCTTCTTGGAAGAGCCCGCCCCCTACTTCCCAAGAAATAGCAAGAGGCGTCTGGACCCGAAATTTCATTTTTTTTGGCTCCCGCTCTCAATCGTATACTCCGCTCTCAATCAGGCGAAAACCCTGTTATGCCTTGGACTGCATGTGAGCCCTCCGGAGTGGGCTCGTAAGAGCACGGCGCCATCAAGTGATGGTGCAAGATGAAATTAACGCAGGCAGCATGACCAACCCACAATTGGCTGCCAACTGCCATGTGACTTTTGTGAAGCTCAACAGCTCGCACAGCTGACGTTTTTCGGCTCCGCCTTCCCAGGGAAGGAAAAACCCTAACCCAGTCAACCCAATGTCGTCAACAAATACCATTCTCAATCTGGCTGGGGCGACATACTTCCATCGGAAGTTTTGTCATAAATATTCCATGTGAGTCAAAGCTTCGATTTTCATACGACCCGAAGGTTTGCGACTTCCATGGTAGTTGGTTAACTTACTTCCATGGAAGCTCGTCGACTTCAACAAGCTTCTATGGAGGTTAAACATTCCATGGAAGTCGTTTGCGAAACGCCCCTAACTTGACTTGGACGGAAGCTCCCTTTACTACCATGGAAGTCAATTGGCGAGTTTCCCTGGAAGTCAAACTCAACCAACTTCAATATAAGTGGTATTTCTCGACTTCCAAGGGAGAATAATTGTAGCTCTTTACAAGGAAGTACCCGCAATTTGTCAACTATTGTAGTGGATCTCCAGCGAACCTCAACGAATCAATAAGACAACGAAAGCAAAATAACAAATCTGTTAGATGCCATGGTGAAGACTACCACCCGTACTTGCTGTCACCTGTTCTGTGCCTCAAACGCCTCGTCGTGCTTTTTGCAGCCCGATACCACGGCTTGTGAGCGCATACTTTTACTGCAAGCAGAACGGTTGGGACGAGCTCTGCGCGTCCATGGTCTTGAAGGCGGGCAATACAGACCTGCATACGTTCGCCAAACACTGGGGCAACTATGGCTTGCGTCAATTCTCCCTCGCGTTTGTCGGAGCAGAAGACGTATTTGCTGCAGAGCAGGAACGTGGAATAGATGGACGACCGGTGATGTTTCCCGGATGGTATAGAGTCAAGGAGTACTTCGAAAATCAATTTGACGTGGAACAAGAACGGGCCCTCATGCAGGAAACCGGAGCATCAAATGACCTTGCAATGTCCTACTTACTCCAGCCTGTGGAGGACCTGCTGAGCAGAAACTACTCCGCTGTGGGAATACTAGAGAAGTGGGAAACGAGCATGACACTCTTCAATAAAGCTCTCAAGGTGCCGAGTTTCAACTGGCAAACGGCTTCTCGCAACCTCGGGCGAAAAAATGTTGACAAGAGACTCCATGACGAGGAGGCCCATGCGCTACGCGCTGCGTGGGATGACCCGGTCCTCGCAAAAACGTTGTGGCTTGACATTTTCCTGTATGACCACGCTGTCGCCGTCCACAACAAGCAGGTCGAAGAACATGGCATTGTGTAGGCGTACTACGGCTTGGGCTAGCGTGACAGGAAGCTTGGTTGAAGAGATGTCTCTTTCCGGGGAGCAGATTTTTCGTAACAATACTGCCGCTACATGGAAATCTGCATCGTGTACACTGTAGATCGATCGACGACTCCACGGGTGATTGCTTTGCCGACGAGATGCCATGCAGACGCGAGGCCAAAGTCGGGGCATGCTGCAAGGTCGAGGTCGATGTGTCCTCTCGTTCTTTGTAGACACATAGCGACAGATGTTGCATATACGGATGCTGATGGACTGAGATCTGCTTGGGTGGCTCCATTGTGACATGGATGTGTACACATTGCGCGAGAAACACAATTATTTGGGGTGGACCAAGTGGACGGCGAAGTGGTCGTTTATCCACATTCCGAAAAGTGTTTCGGTTCTCCACGCTAGTTTATCTCAAATCGTTGGTTTGTTGCTGTAGTTGTTATTGCTGTCTTAAGGTCTAAAACAGTTCCGCTATGCTGGGTACTTTCTGATACCTTAACCGGTCCAATTGATGCAGGCGCCTACCGTGCCCATAGGCCAACTACCCAAAAAGGGTACACGCTTCTCGAAATCAACACCGGAGATGTAAAAGGGTTGATAAATCCTCAGTCAATCACACGCGACATTTTCTCTCTACTGAAGCAGATCACCAAACGGGAGGTGATCGAACCCGGAACGCAACAATTAGACTATGTGGATTCAGAAACCATAACTAGATATATCGTTCATTTCGTTTCCACGGTTACAAACATGTAGCAGTAGAGCCTCGCAATACACCTATCGGAACACAAAGCACAACAAACCGCTTTTGGTGTGGTTGCGCAGCTCAGTCCTCGAATCGCGCGCGCTAGCTGGCAACCTCACGGCTGAATAGGTACATCAAGCCAGCAGCGAAGCCAACGACTTTTTACGGTGGCACATTGTTAATAGGAGCAATTTTTTGCTTTTTTTGGCGACAATATTTTTTTCTCTCAAGCAGTGTTAAACAAGCACCTTGAGGCTTTATACGAAATCTACAGCACGGTTAGCAGATCTACCACGCATCAAATGAAACACGGAAACCACAGCTTTCAAATGAGCCGGGTCTTGCTCTCATCAGACAACCATAAGGTATAGCAGCTGCCGGCGAATATAGGGTACTTTTTCACTACTTTTTTGTGCTGGCCTGAAAAAAAAAACAGAACGGATGCGAATTAGCCATGCATGTAGAACTTTTTGGAAACCCTATGATTTCGCGCACGCGCACATCAGACCAGCGTTGGACACAACGCAGCCG